TACTTAAAATATGTTAAGGGTCTGGTTCTTGTAACTAGGTGCTTATGTGTTGAAAACTTAATGTTTTCCTGATGAACCTTTAGGTTTATTAGAAAAGCATGATGTACCAGCATTTGATTAATTCAGGATAATTATTCTCGCTGCAAGCAAAGTTTTTCTAGACACACACACATACATACATGCACATGAATGCAAAAACCAGGGAATCTGAACTACAATCTGTGCCTTGAATGGTTCCTTACAAACGCAATTGAATGCTGAATGTGACAAGATGGAAAGAACTAGGACTTGTGATGAAGTTGTGACAGGAATTTGTGTACAGAACATAATAAAGTGACCAGTCAGTTTTAAACACTCGTGAAGGGGAACTGATGAATGGTGCAAATGATGGGAAGCATTATTCCAGTCACTTGGATGAAGTGACCATTCATGGAAACATAAGTAGAATACAGGTTTTTGTATGTGAGAGGATGAAAACTACTAAAACTTTTGTTACTAACAGCAGACAGCAAAAGAAAGAAAAGCATTTGTTTGCATTTGGGGAAGCTCTGAAAGAAGTAGGGAGCTGAATAATGAGCAATTGAGATACAAAACCACTTGAGAGACTAAGTGATTGGCTCAACATACTCAGAGATGGGCAGTGGAACTGAGCATGAAATGGATTCAAGTTCACTCTCCTGCCAGTAGAAGCAGAGCTTCCATTTCTGTCTGGGAATGGGTCAAAGATTAGTGCAGAGATGGGAGTAGGAACTCAAAAAATTAGGTGTTGGCTTAGGTCACTGTCACTGGAAGACTTGTGCTTAGAAAATGAATGTGAAAACATGACTTCTTAAAAGTGATTGACAAATGGTTCCAGTACTGATTCTGTGATTGAAATATCTTCTCCTTGAATCATTGTATTTGGAGATGTATATAGGATTAATTTCAGTAGGTGGACGCCAGCCACCTTGGGCACTAGTTTTCTATGACTGCAAATGTCACTACAATTTAAAGAACTTGATATGCAAAAAAATAAAGGGAGAAGGTGAAGATTTTAAGAACTTTAATATTGCTGACTTCTACATAAAGCCAGCATGATCAGATCAGTTGGAAATACAAAAAGAAGAAGGGAACACTAGAGGAGGATAGGTAGTGAAGATAATATGTAGATAACATTTAAGGAAAAGAATGATTCAAGTCCAAGGAGGGAGATAATTGCCCTATGATTCTTTTTGTGAAATTTCCCCATTCTCCAAATACATCTGTCAGTCCATAACTTAGGAAATACTGTACATCTGTGGGGATGCACAGCCTGGAAAGATCAATGTGGGATGTAAAACTGTATCTGAAATGGATAGAAATCAGGGAGGAAAGTGACTGGAAAACAAGGATTATGTTTGCATATGTTAGTGGGATAAGATAGAGCTTTACATCAATCTTGAGATAAGTGATAACAGTTGCGAGGAGTAGCATGGGTAAAAGTTGTTTAAGATGAAAATAATATTGCAGAGTATGTAAGGAAAAGAGCTTCTGTTAAGTCAGTTCTGTGATTCTATCCACAGTTCCCAATAATAGATTTAAATTCTGCTTGGAGTTCTCTAACAGTGTTAATACCTCTGCTAATATCAGGAGTGTGTCATCAGGGAAGACGTGAATTTTTAAGTCACAAACTGGGTTAAGTGTTGGTTTCAAAAATTATACAACTGAAGTTTCTAGGTACTGCTAGAAGTGGCAGTTAATATGTTTAATCAAGGGTGATCATGGTGCTGTTCATTGTGGCATTTTATATGAATCATTAAAGATTATATTTATGGCATTTATTTTAAGAAGTGAGCAAGCTGTAGAAGAGTGAAAATTTGGAACAAGTTCAATCCATGTGAGCAGAAGGCTAAACAAATGGAAAAAGCCATGAGGGATTTATTTGAAAACCACCATTTTGAAATTTTGGGAGCTAGTTAATGAATTACTAGGTCCAAGAATATTAATCATTGTTTTTTACTGAAATGTTGAGTGTGGTAATGAAGGCTACAGTTCATGCACAGTTGTGTGGGATCATTCATACAGAGAAAAAATTTTGTTCAGGAAGAAATGGATGGCCTCCACAGCTGGTGTAATGGAAGCAGAATGTAATAGTTTAGAAAAAAGACTTAAAGGTCACCTATTTGAAGTAACAAAGAGAGGGAATGGAGAAATTAGGAGTAGAGGGTTATAATCGTAAATTTGATACTCGTGAATGAGTCAAAGGTGATTGTAGAAGTTCTCAGGTTATTTTCAAAAACACTAAGTTCTATTACAGACTTTTTTTAAAATTTAAAAAACAAATGGGGACAAACTTTTCCTGTAGTGTAATCTGTTGTTTTGTTTGTCAGTATTCAAGAAAAGTAAATTGAAATTAGAAGAAGTGCAGATCTGACTTAACTGGAGTGATTAGATAAGGTCAGTTAATTTCATGAAGAGATTGAGAGCTTGGTTTGTTTAGTTTAGCACAACTATGCTTGGCAAGGGTTTTGTATCTGTTGATGGAAAGACAGACTGATGTTAACCAAGATCAGATGAGCAGAGACTTCCAGGAATAAATACTAAGTTGAAACTGGAAGGTCTTATGCTACCACAGGAAATTAGTATCTGGAATAGCCTTTTAAGATAGATGATGCTTTTTTAAAATGAAGCTTGATGTGTTTGTAAGAGGAGTGATGTTGTATGGGCTTGCAGTATCAAAGAATTGAGTTCATTGATCTGAAGGTTAGTTTCTGCCTTCTGCTGTATGTTACGATGTTTTGGAATTGTACTGTTTAATGCTTAACTCGCTCAGAAACTGAGATTTTATTTTTTTTTTTACTTTATTACCATATTTTAAGCATTTACATAATTAATAGTACTAACTTATTTTCTCACTTAACCACATAGGGAGCCCCAACATTTTCCTGTTTTATTTTTCTTCCAAGACTGATTTAATTTCTGTGCATGAAATAAACTAATTCAAACAATGGAATTAGTATGTTTACTCCTGGAAGATCTGCTGACATCAGAACTCACTTACGTTTTGGCAAGATCAGTTTTTCAGTGGTTAGGCTGTTCCTTTTGCCATTTAGTTGATTTGATGTTCTCTAAATCTTTGATAATCAATTTGTGTTGCTTCAGACCTTCACTTCCTTCTTTGTGATTTTTATAGTAGATGTGTGACAACAAGTTATTAAATGCCCAGGTCATAGAAGCTTCTCTCTAGCAATGAAGTATCTACCTTGGTGTTCTGTTTAAAAATGAGATTAAGTGCCTCATGTGAAAATTTCTTTTGGCTGATGGAAATTTAGCTTTGTTCATTAGCATATTTTTCTTTTTACAGTTTGAGATTTGGAAAGAATTTAATCAGTAGTATGAGAGTGGTTAAGTTAAGGTTACAGAGATGAGTTTTGCCATTTCTGGTATTTTATACTGATCTGCTCAGAAGTCAGAGATGAGCAAAGTTATACGTTATGTTTGATGGAAGCAGAAGATTTGTGTGTATGAGTTACTGCAATCTGCATGACAAATCAAATATGAATATCCATCTAGTTACTGAAAATTTCTGAATGATGAAAAGGTAGAAAGAGCTAAAGTAATAGTTGAAAAAACCTTTTCTTTTTGTTCAGACACTTTATTTTTTTCAAATATGAATTTCTGCATGCATTTTTAAGAGGTCTGCCATAGATTGTTACAGTTTCAGAACAAATATGCTATGGATCCATTATTTTTAGTTTTTAATGGAGCTGTAACTCATTGTTAAAATAGGTTCTTTTTTAAAATAAGGTCAGATCAAGTGGCTAGGGCAATTGGAGGCAATTGGAAGGGAAGATTGTTTATGTATTTAAATAAATATTTTAACTGTTTGTTAGCTGATTGACAGCATTTAAGCTTTGCCATGTGTTAGATTTTGTTCCTAATCCTCTGTATTTTGGGCAAAAAAAGTTCTGATTTTTTTTCCTGTGATGTTTTTAGGGCTTGTGTACTTGAATTAAATTTTTGGGGTTAGAATTGGTTTCTGGATGCTGCTCTTGATGAGGGCTCAGTTTGACCTGTAGTGATTTGACTTCAGTTAACAAGAGTGTTTTTACTACAGGTTGTTCTGCCATTTCACTACATTTTCACAGTGGTGGTGGCTGTGTTTTGGACTTGTACAAGAGACCGGTGGATAGTACAGAATCCTAGAATGATTTGGGTGGGAGGGGACCATCAGCTAGATCATCTCACCTGGTTGCAATGTCTTGCCATAAGCTGAGACATCCTCCACTGGACCAGGTTGCTCAAAGCCCCATCCAGCCTGGTCTTGAACATTTCCCGGGATGGAGCACCACAGTTTCTCTGGGCAACCTGTTCCAATGTCTCACCACCCTTACTGTAAAAAAAAATAAAAAAATTCTTGTTTATTCTTGTTCTCCATTTCTGTTTAAAATGTCCTTTGTACTATCACAGCCCCCTTTATATATACAAAGGTTGCTGTTAAGATCTGCTCTTCCCAGTCCTTTTCTTCTTCAGACTGCACATCCTCAGTTCTCATTCAGAGGTGCTCAGCCCTCAGATCATCTTTGTGGCCCTCCTTTGGACCCACTCCAGGAGCTCCATGTCTTTCTTGTGCTGGGTGCCCAGAGCTGGATGCATTAGTCCAGGTGGGCTCTCATGAGAGCTGAGTAGAGGGGCAGAATCCTCTCCCTCAACCTGCTGGCCATGCTGCTTGTGATACAGCCATGGATAAGATTGGCTTTCTGGGCTGCAGGAGCACTCTGCAGGCTCATATCCAACTTTTCACCCACCAGTGTCCCCAAGTCCTCCACAAGGCTCATCTCAACCTCTTTGTGCCACAGTCTGTACTGACACTGGAGATTTCCTCAACTCTAGCACTGGACTCAGGGTTCTCATATATTCAGTTTGCATTCTATCTGAGTAAATAAAAATATTTAATCTAATCTGGGCTGAAAAATCCACACAATTACTTTTTTTTTTGTTTTCAGTAGTCTGAAATTCACTTGAATCTCTTGTTTCCATAGGAAACATCTGTCGCTCTCCTATAGCTGAAGCAGTTTTCAGAAAACTTGTAACTGATGAGAAGCTTGAAAATAAGGTAAGCTATTGATTTCAGTTCCAAGAAATAACTGTCTCATAGCCAGTCAGAATATAAGCAGTGAGGAAAGAAACATAAAAATATGAATTTGTTTTTCTGTAGTGGAGGATAGACAGTGCAGCGACATCTGCCTATGAAATAGGAAGCCCTCCTGACTATCGAGGACAGAATTGCATGAAGAAGCATGGCATTACCATGAATCATATTGCCAGGCAGGTACTGTACCTTAATTTTCTTTAAATGTGTATATGTATTTGTTTTGTTGTTACAGTGGAGGACAGACAGTGCCGCTGTTTCAGACTGGAACGTGGGGCGCTTCCCAGATTCAAGGGCTTTAAGTTGTCTAAGAAATCATGGCATTGAGACAGCACATAAAGCACGACAGGTAGAAGAGAGTATATTTTCTTCCTTATTCATACCCATGCCCTAACCATTGCAATCACAGAAGTCATTTGACCAATGCATGGTTAAGCATCAAGTAGTAAACAAATACTCTGCAGTTTTTTAAAGGACTCCAGAGTGGCTTAATTCTTCTATTTGACCTTAATGAGTTTTTTGTTATTAAGGTTCATTGGAAGTATAACTGGAAAGCATTGAACCAGTTTCTGCATTATAGAAAACTCCTGTCTCCAGATGTTTAGTATTCTGAGCATTTAAAAATGCTTTTTAAAAATGGACTTACTCTAGTAATCTGTGATGCATCCTTCAGCAAGGAATTTTATATTTATTTAGCAGGTCCAAAAAAACAGTGGAATACCTTGTTATCCCTGGCAAAAAGCTTCTGCGCTTGCATGTAGATCTTTTAAAAATATCTGGAGTGCTAAATTAGAATGAAAGCACTCAAACCCAAGATTAGTAGCCCAGTTGGTGGTAACTTCAGAGGAAAACATACCCTTGAAGCATTCTTAAGTCAAAGGCAGGTTTGCCACTTAGTGAAATCCTCTAAGTTTTACTTAAACTTGTATCTGTTTTCATTAACAAAAGAACATGTATTTCCATATTGAATTCCAGAGAGGTTGGATGTAAATGTGTCTGCATCTATTTAAATCATTCAGACACTCATATAAATGCACATAATTTACTTCAGTTAACTATTCTCTGGATATAAGATATTCCTTTAGGGCTTGACCTTTACTTAGTTTGAGTTTACGCCGCTAGTTTTTGTATTGACAAAAAGATCAAGTAGTCTTGTTATTATCTTACCTTGCTGTTCCCTTCAGAATTTTTCTAGACCTCACTGAGGTCATATTTACTTTCTTCACTTTTCAAAGACTACATGTTTAGATTTTTGACTTTCAAAAATAAATTCTCTCAATTAGTCAATTGCCCTCTGTTGACCTCTCCTGATGTTAATCTCTGTTTATATGAAACAGAATTAAGCACAGCACCATTTCAGATTTTTCAATAATTTGCTATTAGAATATCACTGCAAAAGTCTGTTGTGATCTTTTCCTGTTACAACATGTGGATTTACTGTTTATCAGTTCTTACAAACATCATTATTTGTGAATATGCAAGCTAAATGGTACTGAAATTATTCAGTCAGTGTTTCAGTCATCACAGTAGTGTGACATGTTTGTCTTCCTAGAACATACACCTTGGAAACTTGAGAACTGTTCTTCTAGGTATTCCTAGAGTGGTTTATGAGCAGTTAAATTAAAGCAAAGGACCAAACCAAGCTGATCCTTTGTCTTGAAGCAAATCTTTTTAGCTTCCTTCGGCAGAGAAGGAATGAAAACGTTTTAATGAAGACATTTGCTTATACATTCTGACAAATGAAGAGATTTTTCAATCAGAAGACCTTAAAGTGTTACATATACAAGGAGAGAAAATTTAAAAAATGGGGCAATAAAATGAAAGACTAACAGGATGAAAATTTGTCTAAATCATTCCAGTACACATAGTTTCTTTTGTAAAGAAAATCTTCAAATCTTGGAACTGCAGGTAACTGTTTATTTTGCACTGATGTTAACAACATAATTCCAAATTTATTTTTTTTTCCTAAACTTCTGTCAGATGGTCTCTGCTGATTCTCTGAACTGCAGACCTGATATGGTCTTGTGGTACTTCTGAAAAAAGAGGTATTTGACAGTGTAGAACAGGACTTTTCAGAGTGGTAGGTTAGTACAAGTGGAAGTGTATTTGCTTCACTTTTAGAGACAAACTTAAGGATAGAAATTTGTGTGACACTTGTCTCAGAACAGATTAAGGAAGATTTAATAACAAAAACTGCAGAAATGGAGAGTAGGGATTTATCTTCCATTGCCTTCGAAGTACTGTGCAATTCTCATCTTCAGTCTTGTGGAAAATTGTGACCCACCCAGTCAAAGGCACCTTCTCTCTTGTAATTTTTTGCATAATTATGATAATTATGGATTTTAGCTTTTTTTTTAAATTCAGTTCTACAAGAATGGTTTATGTAAAAGAGAATATTAAATTGGTCATGTCTTACCATCATGTACAGTGATATTCTAGGTTAAAAGTGAAGTATAAAAGCAAATATATATATATATTATATATAAAATAAAGTTGTTATCATTGTAGCTAATGGCAGGTTACTGTATGAAGTTCTCTAAGCTCTTATTCTTCATGCACAAACCAGAAGGTTTTAATAATTTGCACTTTTATTCATGCTGAGGCAAAAATTGATTTTGGTATGACTCATACCATGCGTTTGCCTTAAATATGAAATTGAGATTAGAAGAAGGTTGTATTAAATACTGTTTCACAACTGGGTAGGTTTGAGGATTACTCCTGGCTTTAAGACAGAAAATGAGATTTCTCTCTGTAAATAAAGAGAAATGTTTCACTAATAATTTAATAATTCTTATATGCATTTTTTAAATGTAAAGTTATTGTTATCTCCATAGTTTCATCCAAAGTTGATTACTTGAACTCTCCAGTACACTTCTCAAAATTTATCCAAATTTTTACATCCTTCCCCAAAGTACTAGTTTTAGTAGTTTTGAAAAGTTCACTGGAGTTTCCTCAATTAAAGCTTTTTTTCTTTTTTTTTTTTTTAACTGACTGTGTTATTGGTTAAAAGCACAAGCCAAATGGTAACCTTGGTTTTAGGGCTGCATTTGCAGCTGTATTGGTGCTTGTCATAGGGTAATAGCTGTCACATTGTCAAGTGTTCCTAGTTTTTTCTTCCATTTGTCTGTACAACAAAGAAATCGGTGCCCTCTTATTTTCACAGGGGCAAGTGTTCAGCTGTGTAGAGCAATCAGAAGCAGCTTGTAGAAGTCCTGATTAGATTTGCCAGGAAAACAGAGCTATTTCTACTGCAAAAATATTTTCATAGGTCAGAGGCACTGCATGAATACAGCAAATATTTTTACAGTGAAAATAAACAAGTCTGCATTAGTTTTCATCATTAACCCTTTCTTTTCACGTGCATTTCTGACCTTTCCTCTTCAATTCTCTTTGTGTGTAATGTTTCATTTATAGATTTATTCTGATGATAATTTCTGTCTGTCTTTTCTTGCTCCCTGTTATGGGAGCTTAATTGGTATCTATTTACTGTTCGCATTAAAAAAATGTGGCTGTTTTGCCATCTAAACCTTTTTATTAATACATAAATATTTTTTACAAATTAAAACTCTGACTTACAGGATAAGTAAGTCAGAGTTTTGCCTTTTGGCGGTTTCCTTGCCTACTCAGTTCTCTAGCCCATCCTTTGTAGGGATGCCTGCCGGAAAACCTGTTCTGAACAACCTTCCCAAGTTTCTTGGTTATGATGCTTCACACAGGACTATGCACGAAAGATAGTCTTGAAGTGAACTCTGATATTAAACATTTTATTCCATTTCTTCATCCTCATTATGGACACCTGGTTCAGATACCTTATACCAGCACTGGGGGCATGGTCTGGGAAGATTTTACCCTAAAATAAGGCTTAAAACTAAACTGGAATAAAATGACAACTGACAAACATCTCCAGCCATCTTTGTAACAAGAAGATGACAGTAGTATTTAAGTCATTTGTTTTTAAGAGATTGTGATTCATACCATCATACTTCAGCTTTAAGTTTCACTTATATGTTCTTGTGCAGTGGGCAGATTTCTAGATTGGAAGTATTGCAATTGATTCCAGGTTACCTACATTTTTGTTGTCCTATCAAGAAAGTAATTTTTCTGGTTTATTTTTAGCCATTTTATTGCATGTTTCCCATAAGTGGAACTTGCTTTAGTTTTAGTAGTTTAAAAGTACTAGAAATGTTGTTTTTAATGATGTTCTAAGTTGATGCATGAAATGTAAAAGAAAAAAAATAGAAAAGGTTGGTTAAATAGCTGACTTGGGTTTTGTTTTTTTTTTGTGGAATGCTTACAGAAATGGATAAATAATCATGGCAGAATATATTTAAAATGTTGTAAGTTACTGTAAAATTGTATAAAGGTCCAGTTCTATTCTTTCCACCTGTATCTTTTTTTTAATAAATCATAGCTACACAATTTGAAAACGCTTTTTTTCCCCCTTTCATTAATCAAATGCAGTTTGTAGGCTAAAGCACCTATTTTTACTTCTAGATTACTAAAGAGGATTTCCAGACCTTTGATCATATACTTTGTATGGATGAGAGCAATCTAAGGTAAAGTATGAAGAAATTGAACAAATTCATATGGGTTACTTGTAGTGATGTCTCATAAGTCCCTTTGAAGACAGATGTCACATTTTACTGCTTAGCTTATGTTGGGGTTTCTTTGTTTGGGTTTTTTTTCACATGTATGTGAATGATGTGCTAATGGATGGATTCTTCACTTCTAATAAGTTTATTGAGCCAGAACTCAATGGTTTATTTGTGTGATATGTGCCACTCAAGGATGAAGGACATGGAAATTTAGTTACTTTGTGCTATATACAGCTGTATAATGCTTGTATAATTAAGAATGAGGATGTACTTACTATCTTGATTGAAGTGATCAGTTTTTCTAATTGCATGGCAGTTAAAAGACAAACTGGGAACTTGGAAGGGATTAAATATGGTGTGGGTTTTTTACTTTTATATAGAAAAAGAGAGGGAACTCTGAAATCAGCAAGGTTGTTAGCTTGGGGTAGTGTTGTTTTATTGTTAGCTGTGCTCTAGCTAAGCGTCCTTGAGAAAGATCTGGTTAAGTAGCTGCTTAGTGTAAAATTTTGGATATCACTAGCAAAATTTCTACTCAATTACATACATATTCAGGATTAAGGAGCTCAATTTAATAAACTACAAGTGTCAAAGTGCTTGTAAGGGCTATTGTCAAGTCAGTTTAAAAAGGCCCAAACCACCAGAACCAGCAACAAAACCTAAATAAAGACCCTGTTAGTAGCACATGAAGTCTTCTAGGAGCAGCACCACTTAACTGAAATAAATATGATTTTGTTGAATGTCTTGAATTAAGCTTTCTTCCACAGCCTTCATGAATGAAGGGTATGTAACACTTGGCTTGATTGTAGTGTCTCAGGCAATGACGTGACAAGGTTTCCTTCTATTTTCACTTGAATTCTTAAACAGAAATTTGAATTAACAAGTTATATGGTATGAGCTCCAGAGCAAAAGAAATGTCAGAATAATAACAGGGATATTGCTGCTGCTGTGCTAAAGTTTTGACTTTAGCTTGCACTGAGTTCAATTGTTTTGCCTGGGAATGCTTATTTGTAGCTCTAGGAGGGCAAGCTGATTCCAGGTGTTGATGGAATACTTGTCATGTCAGAAAAGAAAGACTTAGGACGTGTCTTTTCTTTGGTACCAGAGCCATCTGACACCCTCCTGTTCATTAAGTTGTGTGTCAAAAACCTTTAAGAAGATGGTCTGACATTTTTTTAATAACAGAAAGCTAGAGAATTTATTGAAAAATGTGTAAATTCAAGCAATAGCTTGATAGAGGATCTCTGTTTTTTTCTTCAAAACCAGTACTGTGGTCTCACTGCTATTTCTAAACTATCTGAAATTAATTTCTTTATTAGAAATAATAATTTTAATTTAATTTCTTAAAGTTGATATGGTTATGACTAAGTATTCACAAGGGATTTCTTTGCCTTTTGTAATGGTGAGTAAGTAAAATGATGATTTGCTATGGAGATGTGTAATATTAAAATAATTTAGTATGTTTTGGGAGTTCATTGTGAAGATGATAGTACTCAGCTGCCTTTAATCTGAAGATGATGAGAGGTCCATTTTAAGTATGGATAACAGATTTTTGGGATAACAGATGGCCATTTTTAAGCAAAGAGGGAAAATGCCATCTCAAAACTAGAATGCTTCTCACTGATAAAACAATGTAGAAGGGAGAGGATGTGACAGCTGGTGAAATGCTGCAGTAGATCAAAAGGAAAACAGGTGTAGCTCACCTGATTTACCATTTTCTGTTAACTGGATGTGGTAGGATTTCTCAATAGCTAGAGCATGCCAATCTAAAACAGTGGCTTTGAGCAGACAGGACAATCTTACTCATACTTTGGAAAAAATTCCTGGATAATTTATTGGTTTTTGTTAATTCAAGCTAAGGATGAGTGTTGAAAGTACTAATGATTGATTTGAAAATGAACTTGATGAACTTAACTGTTAAAAAGTTTTTTTAAGCTATGGGTAAAGTGCCTTGGGAGTTCATTGTGAAGATGATAGTACTCAGCTGCCTTTAATCTGAAGATGATGAGAGGTCCGTTTTAAGTATGGATAACAGATTTTTGGGATAACAGATGGCCATTTTTAAGCAAAGAGGGAAAATGCCATCTCAAAACTAGAATGCTTCTCACTGATAAAACAATGTAGAAGGGAGAGGATGTGACAGCTGGTGAAATGCTGCAGTAGATCAAAAGGAAAACAGGTGTAGCTCACCTGATTTACCATTTTCTGTTAACTGGATGTGGTAGGATTTCTCAATAGCTAGAGCATGCCAATCTAAAACAGTGGCTTTGAGCAGACAGGACAATCTTACTCATACTTTGAAAAAAATACCTGGATAATTGATTGGTTTTTGTTCAATTCAAGCTAAGGATGAGTGTTGAAAGTACTAATGATTGATTTGAGAATGAACTTGATGAACTTACTGTTAATAAGTTTTTTTAAGCTATGGGTAAAGTGCTTGACTGCTTATTTATGCTCTGAATTCACTTTATGTCTTCCATACTCAATTAAAAAAGAGTCCACATAACAAGAAAAACAAAAACAAGGAGCAGTATAAAGTCCACAGGATGGATGGAGTCCAGACACGTTGTTTTCCTGTATTGTCTAGAAATGGTCATGAACATGTCCTACTGATGCTAAAATTCTGAAGGAAAATTCAGGGGAGAATTTTTTTTTTTCTTCTACAGAGATTTGAACAGGAAAAGCAACCAAGTTAAGGACTGCAAGGCCAAAATTGAGCTACTTGGAACTTACGATCCACAGAAACAGCTTATCATTGAAGATCCATACTATGTATGTGTAAGAAATTCTTTGGGTGGCTTGATTAAAAAATGTGTGTGTGTGTAGTATAATCTTCCCAGATCCCACAGTTGGCATATGATACATAGTCTGATGTTACACCAAGGGAAGTGTAAACTTTTCTTTTAATGACTTAAGAAAACTGTGTTTTACTGGGATAGGAAAGGAAAATGTTACTATGCTTACAACATTTATTTAAATTAAAATAATGCAGTGCACCTGTGTTTTCAATAGTGGGTGAAACCCTCTTTGATCAGCCTTGTTACAAAGAGGATGTGATCAGGAAAGTTAGAGACATAGCTGGTGACACATGTGGTCAAAAAAGCTGGATAATGTCAGCCAAGGGCAAACAATTAGACTAATATTCTTCAGTTTAGGAAGCATGAAGATGCAGTAGGGTTCTATAAAATCTTGATATCATTGGGAAAGCTGAATAAGACATTGCTGTTAATTACCCAGGAAGTAGAGAATATGGTGTAGTGGTAAGCACATGATATTGGTGGGAAGCAGGTTCAAAGCAAAAAGGTTTGTTTTCAGCTTTTGCTTTCCACACAGTGCTTCATTAAACTGAAATTCAACATGCCAGGTTAGTGGGAACCCAAAAAAGGAAAATACTTAAAAGGCTCAAAAGCGAGTGGAAGAAATACATGAAGGAAAGTCATGCGGGACTGTTGAATACAAAGTCACAGAGTTTGTCTCTGGAAATTCCTGAGCTGAAATGAGAGAGAAATAGGCCAAAGCTATCACCAAGTATTTGCACAGTTTGTATTTTTTCCTAATGTCTGTTGTTTGCCATTACTGACAGCAGAGAAACCAGTCTGCAATTTGTATTTGCTCTTCAGCCAGTATTGTTATTCTTACAGTCTTTTTCCTCTCTTCTTTTCTAGGGGAACGAAAAGGACTTTGAAACTGTTTACGAACAGTGTGTTAGATGCTGTAAAGCATTTTTGGAGAAGTATCATTAATGCTTCATCATATAATTTCTAAAAGAAAATAATTAGCTTCTTCTGAAATATGTAAAGTTTACTTGATTGGTGTATTTAAATTGTAAAATTATGTAAAATATGTACTTCTCCCCTGCTAAATACAGCCACGTTCCAGGATGGGATTTTGTCTTCTGCCATTTCTTCTGAAGAGTTGGATGCTGAAGGCTCTGAAGTGTATGTTCCCAGAATCTCAGCTCCTATCGTTCTCAGGGTGGGGAGGGTCATGTTTGATTTTGGTCTTACATTTTGTGCTTCAAACTGAGGATAAAATGGAAACTATAAATGCCAGTATTAAGATAAAAGTGGTTCATTTTAATAGGTTGGCCCTGGCTGGATGCCAGGCACCCACCAGAGTCTTTCTCTTGCTCCCCTCTGCAACTGGACAGGGGACAGAAAATAAAATTAAGGGATCATGGGTTGAGATAAGAACTGGGAGAAGTCACTCACCAAATAGTGTCATGGGCAACACAGACTGAAGCTAGAGATTTTTACTGAAATTATTGCTAACAAATTCAGAGCAGGGTGATGAGAAGTAACATGAGACCTTAAAAATACCTTTCCCCAACTACTTCCAGCTTTTCCTCCTCCCCCAGCAATGCAGGAAGATGAGAATGGGGGTTATGATCAGTCAATCCCAGTTTGTTTCTGCTGCTGCTTGGGGAGAGGAGTCCTTCCCCTACTCCACTGGAAATGGTTCTCTATGAACTTCTCCAATGTGAGTCCATCCCACAGGTATCAGTTCCCCCCAGACTGCTGCACTGTGGATCACTCCTGCACAGAGAGCAGTCCCTCAGGCACAGGCTGCTCCAGCCTGGGTCCCCCACAGGGTCACAAGTCCCACTGCAAACCTGCTCCAGTGTGGGCTCCTCTCCAAAGGTCTAAGCTTCTGGCAGCTGCTCCCAGAAGCCACTCCTGTAGCACCTCCACTACCAAAACCTGGCCATGCAAACCCAATACATGGATTTATAGGTTGCACATAAAATTTTTCTTCCTGTTTCAGTCATTTTACTGTGACAACTGGATTTAATATCTGATTTTATAAATAAAGGGAAATGTATGTCAAAGTTTTTGGAGTAACAATAACTCCTTAAAAATTCTACAAGACTAAAATGATTTCCTGGATATTTTCTGATTAGATTGCCTTGCAATATCATGAACAGACTGCACATTATTAAAAAACAAACAAAAAGCCCCTCCCCAAACCAAAGCCAAAACCCAAAAAAAAACCCCCTCAGAACATCTGTTAGTCTTAAAAAATATTCCATTTTATAAAACTGTAGAGAATTTGAGCAGCCTTGTAGTCTGGCCATTCTGTGGGCTTGAAACACACACACCTATGCATCCTCATAAATCCAGGATGCCCAGGTTACTGAACTCTGAAGTGAGTACACCTTTCCTTCTTACACAAGAGAACTCTGTGGAAAGAAATTTAAGTGTGGATAAATGATAGTAGCTGCCAGAAGGTTGTTTGTTTACCTGGATTCAGTGACTAGAAAGCAAACTGAGAACAACTTCATACCAAACACTTTATTACTTATGCTTGTTATTTACAGTATTTACATATTGCACGTTCGCTGGAATGTTTTATACATTTATTATATAAAGTAAATTAATGGCAGCTTGTGTTTGTGTACAAAATCCATGCTCCACTGTCCCAAAAAGTATATCTACTTGGAATAACATTCCTGTTTGTCATGCAGTTTGTACGCCAGGGTACAATGTGACCCCAATGCAAGTCTGTTTTAACCAAACTTTTAAAAAATTGCATAAGCATGAAGGATTATCAAGTGACCACAACTACTGTGGAGCAGATCTTTAGTAGTTCTAGATATACAAACAAACATTCCTTAAAACTGTAGAATTAAGCAACAGAACATGAATTTTCTTGGTGAAATATTTGTGTTTACATAATTTTTGGCAGCATTACACATCAATTGTAGTGTGTTTTTAAGTATGGAGCATTAAGTACTACTGGCAGTTATGCTACTGTAAAGAATGTCAATCTGCAAACTGTCGATGACATACAAAACGCATGTTAAAAGAATTATGGGAAGTAGTCTGTCAATCTGCAAAAATAAATCTCTTGTTCACAATGGAATTCGCTAAAAGGTAGTAAGTTCTGTTTCCCTGTTGGTTTCCAAGGCACTTCTCTTGGTTCTTGGTGTTCCTTGTCATGGTAATAACATCTGGTGGATTAAAAGAAAGAAGAAATTGCCTTTCATCATTTTTATACTCACATTCATGTGTTTGAGAATGTGTTTATCATTGCGAAAATAGTAAATAAAACTGGAAAATTCAGTAATAACTTTGGAAAGATCAGCAGTGAATTTTAGATTTACCTCAGTTCATATCAGCCTGACTGTAATATTAATGCTTTCTTAATCAAGGCTAAAAATCTGGAAAGCATCATTTTTTCTGATGGTTCATTTCTGATAGACACGAGGGAAATCCAGTTCTACCTATCAAAAATGTGCTCATAGTTAATCTGTTCCAGTGACTGCATCTGTGAAGTCAAGAAGTGAATAAACCTCAGGAATAGCATTAACAGATTGCAAAATGCTGTCTAAATGCCTTGGTGTCAGGAGCTGTTCATGGCGTGTCCAGTTTGATGGATCTAGGAAGGATTTGATGTTTCATTGGGCCCTTTTGTGAAGAAACCTGGATTCATATAAACAAGAAACAAATAGAAGTAACTTTTTAAGAGCTGGTTGTATAACTATAGCCCCTAGAACATGCCAACACTGAGCCACCACAAACTAAGCAGGAGCTGCAGTGGTTCAATTTGCTGCCTGAAGTCTTCCAGAAGAGTGTCTTGGAATGAAATCACAATCATGCCTATGACACTGATATTTAAAATCACCAATACAAAATTACAGGTTTCCACATTGCTTACGTATGTATTTTGTCTCTATTCTAGAAATGTTGATTCAAAAGTTGAGCAGCGAAGGTTTTCACAACCTTACTACCCCCACACCTTTAAAGCTTGTAAGAAAATGTAGTGTAACTGCACATACACATATCTAAAAGTCCATCCTCTTCTAGACAGGTGAGCACTGAATGTTGCAAGTCTGTCCACCCAGTTTCAAGTGTTTCTATGCCTGTTCTTGTTCTTATTTAGAAATAAAAAATGTACAATGTTTTTTTTCAGTCAGCAGGAACTACACAGCTGAAAGACTATTACATGCAAACAGACCCAGATGAAGCTTTGGTGTCTTACAGCCATCATGGGGGAGGTAAAAAACAGTGATAATCTGGTAACAGAATTCTGATGATGATATTTTTCACAGTTAAAACTTTCATATTGCCTGTCTGAACATAGGTAACTGTCTTCCCCATGATCAGTGTGAATTCTCTGATAATCTGAGCTTCTCTACGTTTTCTACTGCTTAAGTATAATTTGTAATGGAATCATTTGTATGCGAAGTCAGTTGCACTTGACATAATCCATTGCAAATCAAGCTATTGGTGCATACAGAAATACTTGTTAGTAGTATTTAAACATTTAGTTTTGCAATTTTTGAAAGCTATTTAGGAAATGTAATAATGTTATAGAAAATCTTAATGTAATCTAGGGTTTTTTTCTGGCTTTGCAGATAGGACAATTACTTCTATTTTTTTTTATATCCTTCCTTAGAGGGGGAAACTGATATAAATTTTCCTTGTCTTGCATTTTCATCTAGCTTATTTTCTGTATGTATGCTCCTACTGCACCCTATTTAGGCTATGATGTTAAAAAGTGATGTTTAGAAGAAATTAACATGCTTTTGGTTTGATCAGTGTGTGATACAATCTACAAGTTAAACACTGAAAATGTAATAAAAACTTTTTTCATTACTAATGGGAATATGCAGCTCACTGGGGGTGAAAAACAGTGGTTAGGATGCTCATTTGTCATCTCATCTACACCTCCCTTAGTATGGGTAACTTGACAGTTTTATATCAGCTAACACAGTTTTCTAAACCCCTGGCATTTTCAGAAACCCTTCAAGAGAGCCCAGGTTTTTAGCATTGACAAATCTGTTCTACTGCTTAATTTATTATTTTTTTTTTTTATTTCATAATCTGTTATATGCATCAGTCTAGGAATATTAGGCTGGAACTTAGCTGAAGGATGATGGATAGTCTTAGTGGAGATCCTGAATGCAATTTGACTACAGCCTCTGTTGAGAACACAGGTGACTATACAACTCCCCAGCCAATTGTGCTAAGTTCTAAAAGCACAAATGAAAGCTAGTGTAAAGGTGTATTACAGCTTTCCAAATTTGATTCTGGTTATTACCTGTGCATGATGATAAACTCTGTAAGAAAAAACTAATCTATATGATAAGAATTTAGTGGTTTAAATATCAATATAAACTTTAAAACACTGTCCCAGTAGGTTTTTGTAGCAGAATGTCTTCATACTTACATATAAAAAATTCTTTTCCCAAGTGTGCACACCCAGGTAGAATTCTGCTGTAATGTGATCACAGAGATCCATGCAATGAAGATTATGAAGCTCTGAATGTTCCATCTGATACTAGCCACACACATCTCTCAGCAAGGAAAACTGTGAGCTGCCTTTTAATAAACCTGGATGATGCACACTGGCTGCCTTTTTAACTCAAAGCAGTAGTTCTGAGAAAAGTCTTAAATTAGTTTACTTGGGAACCAATTCCTGGCATCATGAAGAGGTGATTGAACATGCCCTGAGCAGCTGTATAAAACAGATCAAGCTATACTTTCTAGAAAAAAACAGGCCTTCACTGAATGATACACAGTCCTCTCATCTTAATTTCACCTTCACTTTTATGGAATTCAAGTGTCTGACATTTCAATGCACTCCATGTTACTATGAGAAAGCAGCAATCTAAGGGAGAATGCAATTAAGGGCTGTTGTTTCCATTATTACAAAATATTTGAAGCAAAATTCAAGTGCCCAAATATATTGGTTTAAGAAAAATTTGAAAAATTTGATATATAATATGGTGTATAGTAATGGGATATTTAGTGGAGTACTTTAAGTTTCCAACTTTATCTTGTATTTTCA